TGTAGTAGAAATTGTAGTAGAATATTGCTATAAGTATGACCTAGATTTAGAGAATACAACCATGTAAATGCAAATGACCTAGATTTAAGAAATATAAATACAACTCTGTATATGGAAAGCGTCTGGGTAGAGACAAGAAAAACGAAATAAAGACATTCGTTAAATAGCATCGAGCGAGTGAAGTTGTGCGTTTTGGTGATCGGCCTCTTTTTTATTACCTGCTACAGTCGCCAGAAGTAGGATTGATATCCCAATTTTTTTTTTAGTGTTTTACGCCCTCGTACAAACATTCGGACTGCATAATACCTGCTAAGGTTGCGACGAAATTAAAAAGTTTATAGCGCTCACGGACACAAAGAGAAAAATAACTTACTATTTACGTGTAACAAAATTAAAGTCAGCGTGCAAGATGGAGGACACCATTGCGGTGGAAACATACACAACAACACAACTGAAAGAGTGGCTGCAGCGTTTGAGTCTTAAGACAAGCGGAACGAAGATGGACCTTGTTAAGCGTTTAAACGAAGTTCCCCAAGCGACACGTGGAAATTGCCCGATTGCTGCCGAAGAAGCTGGTGTTGGTGAGGCTTCGCTCGGACATGATGACATACGCACACTCAAAGCAGAGCTAAGTAAACTAAAGAATCAATGCGAAATTCTAACGCACCAAAATGAGTTGTTGCTAACCAAAATGCGAACACAGATATGCGAAACTGACGCCGCTGCTACAGAGTTGCCATTCGATGTGGTTAAAGAGTTTTTGCCGGAATTTAATGACGAAGCTGATTTTGAAGTTTGGGTTGAACAGTTTAAAAATTTAACATCGCTTTATGTGTTGGATGAAAATTTGCAACGAGTGCTTTTGATGAATAAATTAAAGGGCAAATCCCGACAATGGCTGCAATCAAAACCGAATTTGGTTACTGAACATGTTGCAGAGTTACTTAAGCAGCTGGCGGAGTTCTTCGAAGTCAAAGAAAATAAAATGATTCTTCGGCGCAAGTTCGAAATGCGTAAATGGATCCACAGTGAATCATTCCTTGATTATTTTAAAGAAAAAACCGCGATGGCGAAGAAGATATCAATTGAGGAGGACGAACTTGTTGACTGCATTATTGAGGGTATCCCGGATGAACAGCTTAGAACACAAGCACACATGCAGTGCTATTTGTCTACAGCCAGCCTGGTGCAAGCATTTTCGAAAATACAACTAAAGAAGAGCGTGACCTCAGCTAAAGCAGTCTCTACGTCTACAAACGCGAAGGTGCAGAAAGGAACAATGGTAATTCGCTGCTACAACTGCAATTCTTTAGGACATTTCGCCGCAGAATGCAAAAAGCCGAAGCGAGAAATGGGTGCCTGTTTTGCGTGTGGAAGCCTCGAGCATCGTGTTGCAGCTTGTCCTGACAAGAAATCCGCAGTTCAATTTTTGGAAGACAATGAATATGTAAGGTATTTTAACATAAAGTTGATTGATGATAAAAATGTTTGTTTAAATTTAGAATGCCTCATAGACTCCGGCAGCCCAGTGAGTTTCATCAGACGCTCCAGTTTATCGCATAATTTGAGTTTGATTAAAAGTGTAATGAAATATGATAATAAATGTTTTTTCGGAATTAATAAAAGCAAACTTAAAGTTTTTGGAAAAGTTCGTTGCCTTGTTAGTGGAATGAAACAAGTTATTGAGATAAGTATGCTGGTGGTGGCCGATGAGTCTATGAGCTTCGATGCTATACTCGGAAGAGATTTTTTGAGAGCAGGTAGGCTAAAGTTGTGTAAGATTGAAAATGTTTCGAAAACGATCGTTAATGAAGACTTGTTGAGAGATGAAAATGTTAGCTATAAAAAACCGAGTGAAGAATGTGTAGACGCTGGCAAAACTGAAAGTAAAGTTGAAACAGAAAATGAATTTCCGAAATTTTTGAGTACTTTAGAATATGATAAAGAAAACGAATTGGATTTATGTATGGGTGATCAACTGAATTCTAAAGATAGAGGTAAATTGTTAGATATTTTTAAGCAGAAATATGTAAAGCCGAAACGACCCGACGAACCATTGACAAAGTGCTTTATGAAATTGAATTTAGAAAACACAAAACCATTTGGCTGTCCACCGCGACGCCTGTCGTATGCTGAAAAGAAAGAATTGCAAAAATTACTAGACGAATATTTAGATAAAGGATATATTAGGGTGAGTGAATCGGAATTTGTTTCTCCTATAGTTCTGGTTAGGAAAAAGTCAGGTGAACTGCGAATGTGCGTAGATTATCGCGTTTTAAATAAAATGACTTGTAAAGATAATTACCCTATACCGCTTATTGACGATTTGCTGGATAGATTAGGGAAGAAGAAAATTTTCACTAAGCTCGATTTGAAAAAACGGGTTTTACCATGTGTTCATGAACGAAGAGTCGGTTAAATACACATCGTTTGTCACACCCATGGGTCAATACGAATTCTTGCGGATGCCCTTCGGCTTAAAAAATGCACCGTCCATGTTTCAAAGAATTGTGAACAAGGTGTTTGCTGATATGATAAGGGACGGAAAGTTGATAGTGTACTTAGATGATATAATGATAGCAACGGAAAACGAAGAAGAACATTTTGAAATTTTGAAAGAAGTATTTGCGAAATTGGTTGATAACAAACTAGAACTTCGATTAGATAAATGCGAGTTTTTTGTAACCAGTGTCAAGTACTTAGGTTATATGATTACAGGAGATGGAATACGAGCTGATGAAAAAGGTCTTCAAGCTATACAAAATTTTCCTGTGCCACAAAAGCTCCATGCCGTTCAGAGTTTCTTGGGTTTGTGTTCCTACTTCCGCAGGTTCGTGAAAGATTTTTTCCATATTAGCAAAACCGCTTTATGATTTAATCAAGAAAGATAAGGAGTTTAAATTTGGAAAACCGGAACTAGAATGTTTTGAAAATTTGAAAAGAAAATTGATCGAATCACCCATTCTTGCTTTGTATGATCCGGCTGATGCTACGGAATTGCATTGTGATGCAAGTTCCATCGGTTATGGGGCAATACTTCTGCAAAAGAAGAAAGACGGGAAAATGCACCCTATTTTTTATTTTTCGAAAAGGACAACGCCAGCTGAGTCCAAGTATCATAGTTTTGAGCTTGAAGCTTTAGCTATTGTAAACGCACTACAACGTTTCCGAATTTATCTTCAGGGTATAAAGTTTAAGATAGTGACAGACTGTAATTCGCTTGCGTTAACAATGAATAAGAAGGAACTTAATCCCAGGATTGCTAGGTGGGCGTTAGTGCTGCAAAATTTTGATTATGTGTTGGAACATCGTTCGGGAAACCGCATGCAACACGTTGACGCGTTGAGTCGGTGCACAAATATATTGGTGATAGAAACAAATACCTTCGAAGAAAGCCTAATCATTGGTCAAGGTAGAGATTCTGAGTTGAAGAGAATCCGAGAAGAATTACAACGTACGGAACATAATTCGTACGAAATGCGAAACGGGGTGGTGTATAGAAAGAAACGGGATGGAGGCTTGTTGTTTTTTGTTCCAACCGACATGCAGGAACATGTAATTTATAAATACCACGATGAGATGGGGCATGTGGGCACAGATAAAGTAACTGAGCTTATATCGAAAACATATTGGTTCCCAAAAATGCGTGATAAAGTAATTAGCCACATACAAAATTGTTTACAATGCATAGCGTTCGCAGCTAAAAATTACAAGAATGAGGGCCTTTTACATACGATTCCAAAGAGTAAAGTACCATTTGAAGTTGTTCATATCGACCACTATGGTCCCGTAGACAAATCGACATCGAGAAAGTATATATTTGTGGTTATCGATAGTTGCACTAAGTTTACTCGGTTATACGCAACTAAAACAACAAACACAAAAGAGGTGATAAATGCGCTTAATGAATATTTTAGGTCATATAGTAAGCCAAAGTGTATTATATCGGATAGGGGTACTAGTTTTACTTCAGGAGATTTTAAGGAATATACAGAGACGCATAATATTCAGCATATTAAGATTGCAACTGGTTCTCCGCAAGCAAACGGCCAAGTTGAGCGCGTGAACAGAACTATTGGGCCAATGATAGCAAAATTGATCAATCAAAAAGGGGGTACAAATTGGGTTTCTGTGTTAGAACAGGTTGAATTTTGTCTCAATAACACGCATCACAGATCTATTAACGAACATCCAAGTGTTATGTTATTTGGAATAAGACAAAGGGGTAAAATAGAGGACTATCTTCAAGAATCGTTAAATAATGTTAGTGGAAATGAAAATCAGGAATGTCGGACTCTCGACGAGATTAGAAGCAAGGCAGCTCAAGCTGAGAATAAAGTACAAAAATATAACGAGCAGTATGTCAATAGCAAGAGAAAACCGTCAGTCAAGTATGTCAATGGAGATTATGTCATGGTAACAAATTTCGATTCACACGCCGGCATATCTAGAAAACTAATTCCCAAATTTAGAGGTCCTTATCGAGTCTCAAAAGTTTTGCGAAATGACCGTTACTTGTTGGAAGATGTAGAGAATTTTCAGCAATCCAGAACTCCTTATAAAGGTGTTTGGGCTGCTTCCAATATAAAACCTTGGTTCAAGGGTCGTGAAAGCTATGATGATCAGGAGATCACATGATCAGGATGGCCGAATTGTAGTAGAAATTGTAGTAGAATATTGCTATAAGTATGACCTAGATT